AAATCAATAAATTGGGTCGCAAAATAAAAATGGGTCGCGAAAATAAATAAGAAAAAAAAATAAATGCACCATAATTTAGGCTTGGTTATTGTAATGTACACTCCACAGTCTAGGAAGCGACTGCAAGGAGAGCATTTCCTGATTCTTTCTTTACCTTTCATGTCATCCGTTTAGCGCATTTTATATCATTACACTTAGGTTTAATGGGTCGCAATTCAAATTGTTCTGGCTGTGGGTCGCAGTAAAAAAAGTTTGAAAAACACTGGTCTAATGGGAGACCCTGCTGCCATATGGCATCACAAAAATTGTGACCAAGTCCCAGGTTGCTGATCTGACTTTCTGCCTCATTTACACACAATTGCTGGGTCTCAATTGTTTCTCTTACTATTGACAACACAACAAACATATATCGTTACTCACTAGTGATCGATTTTATTTATTCATTTATTTATTTTATGGTCCTGTATTATTAATATTGTTGTTAGTGTTAGTATTATTAGTATTGTTATTATTTTATTATTATTATATTGTATATTTATGATATTAAAAAAATATGCTATTTTTATTTATTATTATTATTATTATTATTATTATTATTATTATTATTATTATTATTATTATTATTATTATTATTATTATTATTATTACTATTATTATTATTATTACCCCAGGCCCTGATGTGGGTCATTGACCTGTGCCCTGGTGGGCTAATCCTGTAAAAAAAATCAAAATAACGCTACTGCCGTGTACTGATGACCACACATGTCACTGATCTATACACTGCACTCAAGATTATATTTTTTAAGTAGCAGTAACATTTTTAACCAACTACCTAAAAAAACGGTTCCTTGTTTTTTTTTCAACTCTCACTCACATCTCTATGAACTTATTTTGTCAGTTTATCAGAACCTAAATAAGTAACACCAATAATTATGCACATTATTATTAATACATTTCACAATTACACGAATTAAAATACTAACAAAACAAACTGGTAAATTATATAGAGTCATAGACAATTATGTTGGGCTAATCCCGTAAAAAAAGAGTTAATGTGAGCTTCAAATACCAGCCTAGTACTATGTCAATATCTAAAGCCTAATACTATGTCAATATCTAAAGCCTAGTACTATGTCAATATCTAAAGCCTAGTACTATGTTAATATCTAAAGCCAAGTACTGTGTCAATATCTAAAGCCTAGTACTATGTTAATATCTAAAGCCAAGTACTATGTTAATATCTAAAGCCTAGTACTATGTCAATATCTAAAGCCTTGTACTATGTTAATATCTAAAGCCTAGTACTATGTTAATATCTAAAGCCTAGTACTATGTTAATATCTAAAGCCTAGTACTATGTTAATATCTAAAGCCTAGTACTATGTTAATATCTAAAGCCTAGTACTATGTTAATATCTAAAGCCTAACTATCTAAAGCCTAGTACTATGTTAATATCTAAAGCCTAGTACTATGTTAATATCTAAAGCCTAGTACTATGTTAATATCTAAAGCCTAGTACTATGTTAATATCTAAAGCCTAGTACTATGTTAATATCTAAAGCCTAGTACTATGTTAATATCTAAAGCCTAGTACTATGTTAATATCTAAAGCCTAGTACTATGTCAATATCTAAAGCCTTGTACTATGTTAATATCTAAAGCCTAGTACTATGTTAATATCTAAAGCCTAGTACTATGTTAATATCTAAAGCCTAGTACTATGTTAATATCTAAAGCCTAGTACTATGTTAATATCTAAAGCCTAGTACTATGTCACTATCTAAAGCCTAGTACTATGTTAATATCTAAAGCCTAGTACTATGTCACTATCTAAAGCCTAGTACTATGTTAATATCTAAAGTCTAGTACTATGTTAATATCTAAAGCCTAGTACTATGTCACTATCTAAAGCCTAGTACTATGTTAATATCTAAAGCCTAGTACTATGTCACTATCTAAAGCCTAACACCTAACCATATATTCGACATGATTGTCTCATTACTACTACTGGTACTGAAAAGTCTTGTATTCCCTTTATGGTGCAAGATAATGATATAACAGACTGGTTAAATTACTTGGTGTGTCTAACAAGGCTCACTATTAATAAAATACACAAATATTTATATCACAACGTGGAAATTACTGTACCTGGATTTTATTCTTGGCCAAAACCTATTGGAGAACACGTGACCGGGCACACCTGAAGGGGACAGTAAGTTTTTATTTAGTTTGTGAATTAATAAGTTTGTTTTGACATATTTTTACTCTATGCCCAAAGGTAAACGAGCTTGTCTCTCATTAATGTGTCTCGGGTCCAGTCCCCGGGGCGGCTGTAAGAAGATTCCTATCCAATGTGACTGAAAAAATGGCAAGTTTTCTCACTTATCTTCGTCTACTTCTGTCTCCTCCTGTCCTGCATAAATACTGGACAATGAAGGTCATACTTATCAGGAACAAGTAAGAAATAAAAAATAAAAAGTCCACCTAAAATAGTTGCTAATTATCTTGGTTACATAATCTCCTCCACCCAATAGGCAACATCCTTGACCACCGAAGGGTCAAGACGTACCTGGCGCTCCTCTCGGAGCAGCCAGGTCAACTGTTAAGTTGGCCCATACCAACTGCCTCCCCTGAACCCTCCTCCCCACCGGAATATCAACAAGTTCTCGCCAGAAGTTGTAATTTCATTTAGGAAAGGAATGGAACCAGTGTTAAACAGAGGTGAACAGTGGTGAACAGTGCGTAAGTCAGTGAGAACAACTCAACAGTAACAGTCGTACCCAACTTAACCTTCACACAGTGAGGTCCCAGGTAGTGAGACACAACAACAACCAGCGATGTGTTAATCCGTCTACGATAGGAAGGACTGGGACCACACCTCACTCATATAACACCATCTGTGAGGGAATTAATATACCACGTCAGGTCCCTCATAACACCATATGTGAGGGAATTACTACACCACGTGAGGCCCCTCATAACACCATCTGTGAGGGAATTACTACACCACGTGAGGCCCCTCATAACACCATCTGTGTGGGAATTACTACACCACGTGAGGCCCCTCATAACACCATCTGTGAGGGAACTACTACACCACGTGAGGTCCCTCAGAACACCATCTGTGTGGGAATTACTACACCACGTGAGGTCCCTCATAACACCATCTGTGAGGGAACTACTACACCACGTGAGGTCCCTCATAACACCATCTGTGTGGGAATTACTACACCACGTGAGGCCCCTCATAACACCATCTGTGAGGGAATTACTACACCACGTGAGGCCCTCATAACACCATCTGTGTGGGAATTACTACACCACGTGAGGTCCCTCATAACACCATCTGTGAGGGAACTACTACACCACGTGAGGTCCCTCATAACACCATCTGTGTGGGAATTACTACACCACGTGAGGTCCCTCATAACACCATCTGTGAGGGAATTACTACACCACGTGAGGTCCCTCATAACACCATCTGTGTGGGAATTACTACACCACGTGAGGCCCCTCATAACACCATCTGTGAGGGAATTACTACACCACGTGAGGTCCCTCATAACACCATCTGTGTGGGAATTACTACACCACGTGAGGTCCCTCATAACACCATCTGTGTGGGAATTACTACACCACGTGAGGTCCCTCATAACACCATCTGTGAGGGAGTTACACCACGTGAGGTCCCTCATAACACCATCTGTGAGGGAATTACTACACCACGTGAGGTCCCTCATAACACCATCTGTGAGGGAGTTACTACACCACGTGAGGTCCCTCATAACACCATCTGTGAGGGAGTTACTACACCACGTGAGGCCCCTCATAACACCATCTGTGAGGGAACTACTACACCACGTGAGTTCCTCCTAACACCATCTGGGAGGGAGTTACTACACTACATGTTTGCTGTTCAACGCCTACATTAATCTGTATGTTCACTGTATGTTCCTTTACCTTTCTCTACTGAAGGCTTTTGTTGAACCACCAATGTAGTCATTTATGTCCAATGTATATTTTCAGCCTTCGGGCTGCAGAACTTTTTTAATAAACCGTAATTATTATTATTATTATTAAAATTAATAAATTTGGGTAAATAAACTGAACATGATAATAACAACAAGTAAACTAGACAGTAAAGGTCATACATAATAAAGTAACAAAGCAGACACCAACCGTCCGAACGGCTAGTAAGCTGATAAAAGGTGGAGCGATAAATAAAAGTGAACATTGTAATAAATTTCCTGGTCGTCTGATTACGTCAGTGACCTACAAATAAATAAAAATAAAAATTATAAACACTTTGTTTTCTAATTAAACGCCCATTTTGCATGCAATAATTTATTATTACTAGTATTATAATTAATGTTATTTATATTTTCCCGGTTATAACACCATGATATAAGTTTTAGGCAGGAGAAAACTCACACCATATTTGGCCTAGATTCAGATATCTTATACAGAAATACTAGAACAACTTCAGATTTGAGTAATGACAATGCAGGTACATCAATACCCATATAAAATCAGAACAACAGATTTTGTGCCTTAATCTAGACATGAAACAGAATCGAAATGTATCTAAAAACTACAAATGCTCCGGCGCGATAAATGGAGAGGAGAGAAACCGGGAAAACTCACTCCACACATTCCCGCCACAGTGGCTAGCCAGCGAGCCTCCCGGCCCCTCTCCACCACCACCACTACCACGCACCTACACACCATTTAAACCTTGCTTACAAATCCTAAAAGCATTATCATCGTTTTATTTATCACATACATAATATAAATAAGTTTCCTATAGTTATAATTCATTTACCTTTCCATTTTTCCTATTGGATAATAGAAATTAATGAGTATTAAAGGGGTTTTTTATCCGTAGGCCTACCACGGATTGGAGTCATTATTAAACTTACAAAATGGCCGATTTTTTCTCATTTACCGCCGGTTGTAACTCAAACTGTTATAAACGTTGAAGAAAACGTTCCGAAGAACCAGGTCCTACCGAGACTCGAACTCGGATCGCTGGATTCAAAGTCCAGAGTGCTAACCATTACACCATAGGACCGCCGTGAAGAACATACCTACCCCTTGAAACAATACCTTCCCCTACTCTCATTATTAATATTAACATTATTATACTTTTAACCTTTCAATATTGTAAATTTATATGGTTCATTTATATCATTCTTAACTTAAGGTTACGTAATATAATCGATGATATAGTACCAAGAGCTTGTAACTACACGTATAATTAGATATATATTTAAGACAGGTGGTAGTCATGCAATTTAATATATAACAAGAGACGTCTTAGCTGTGAGTTAAATAATAGTAATATCAGGAGAGATAGTAGTAGTAATAATAAATAGTAATAGTAATAGTAATAATAATAATAATAATAATAAATTGAGATAATTATAGTAAAATTATGTACAAGTTTTCGTACGTAACAGAAGTAGCAGAAATAGTAATAAAAGTAGTAATAGTAACAGCAGGTATAATATTAATAGTTAAATAGTATACTAGCAGTAATAAAAACAGATGGAAAGGCCAGAGTTTGTGTTCAATGGTGTAAAATGCGACTCCCCACCTCTCGCCACCACGTCCACGCACACACGCACACACGAATTCTGTCAACACACACACACACGCACGCACACACACACACACACACACACATACACACACACACACACACACACACACACTAGTTCCCCGTGAGTCAAGGTACAAAATCGGGTTCCGAATGTCTGAAGATTCGTACCTTCAGTTCTCTCCCCTAAACTCACCCCTTTCCCTTCCATCCCCCCCATTCTCTTCCCCCCCATCTCACCCCCTCTCTAGTAAGTAGAGGTGTGCGGGAGAGCTGTGGTAGAGTCTCAATGCAATTTTCTCTTCATTTTTGCTGGGAACTTTGTGTTGTTGCAAAGGTGAGTAAGTTAGATGAGGTGGTTGCTTTGCTCTACTCTACTTTAACAGAATACATTAACAGAATACATTAACAGGGTACTTGGAAACAAAATTAATGTTGAGTCTTTATAATTATTCGGGATGTTAATTTTGTCTCCTAACTGGTGTTAATTGAACGTATCTAGTTAAGGTAGAGTCTCAGTGTTAATTTTGTCTCCTAACTGGTGCTAAGTAAACGAATCTAGTTAAGGTAGAGTCTCAGTGTTAATGTTGTCTCCTAACTGGTGCTAAGTAAACGAATCTAGTTAAGGTAGAGTCTCAGTGTTAATGTTGTCTCCTAACTGGTGCTAAGTAAACGAATCTAGTTAAGGTAGAGTCTCAGTGTTAATGTTGTCTCCTAACTGGTGCTAATTGAACGTATCTAGTTAAGGTAGAGTCTCAGTGTTAATGTTGTCTCCTAACTGGTGCTAAGTAAACGAATCTAGTTAAGGTAGAGTCTCAGTGTTAATGTTGTCTCCTAACTGGTGCTAAGTAAACGAATCTAGTTAAGGTAGAGTTTCAGTGTAATTATGATGTCATTTTGGGTGATTCTTATCAAACATGACCTCCCTTCCCATGTGACCTCCCTGCCGACTTACCCACGTAACCTACCTGCCAACCTACCCACGTAACCTACCTGCCGACCTACCCACGTAACCTCTCTGTCAACCTACCCTCGTGACCTCCCTGCCAACCTACCCTCGTGACCTCCCTGCCAACCTACCCTCGTGACCTCCCTGTCGACCTGCCCCACGTAACCTCTCTGTCAACCTACCCACATGACCTCCTGCCAACCTATCCACATGACCTCCTGCCAACCTACCTACATGACCTCCCCTGCCAACCTGCCTCCTCGTGACCTCCCCTGTCGACCTGCCCCACGTAACCTCTTTGTCAACCTACCCACATGACCTCCTTGCCAACCTACTCACCCTCGTGACCTCCCCTGCCAACCTACCCCTCGTGACCTCCGTGCCTGCCCCACGCAACCTCTCTGCCAACCTACCCACATGACCTCCCCTGCCAACCTACCCCGTGACATCCCTACCAACCTATCCACATGACCTGCCTGCCAACCTACCCCGTGACCTCCCTGCCAACCCACCCTCGTGACCCCCGCCAACCTATCCACATGACCTCCTGCCAACCTACCCGTGACCTCCCCTGCCAACCTACCCGTGACCTCCCCTGCCAACCTACCTCCGTGACCTCCCTGCCAACCTACCCTCGTGACCTGTCCCACCCATGACCTCCCTGCCAACCTACCCTCGTAACCTCTCTGTCACCTACCCACATGACCTCCCCAACCTACCCCGTGACCTCCCCTGCCAACCCAACCCCGTGACCTCCCTGCCAACCTACCCCTCGTGACCTCCCCAACCTACCCCCGTGACCTCCCTGCCAACCTACCTCGTGACCTTCCTGCCAACCTATCCACATGACCTCCCTGCCAACCTACCCTAGTGACCTCCCTGCCAACCTACCCACATGACCTCCCTGCCAACCTACCCGTGACTCCCTCAGCCCTGCCATCCTGCCCACGTTGTATAACAATAAACAAACAAAACAATATTAATAACAATACTAATAACAATCACAAAGAACAGCTTGTAGACATGTGACCCTCCCCATTCCCTCCTCTCCCCCACCCCACCCCACTAAGACGCCATATCACTACAATCCACCCCCACCTACTCCCTACCACCCCCACCCCTTCTAGACAGTCTTACGCCACGTATCAGATCGATGTGACGAGTCAGCGTAAAATTTGTGTGGGCAACGTAGTAACCTGGTGGACCACGTGGGGCGATGACTGTGTGATGAGTCGAACTTTGTGTGGCCAGTGTGAGTTATATGTACTTTTTTAATACATATATTTTTGCGCCAATTTGTTAGTTAATACATGTGCAGTGTCTTCACTTCTAGAAGAGTTTTAAAGGTGTTAGATGTACCTTTTTGTTACATATTTACTTATTATTATTATTATTATTATTATTATTATTATTATTATTATTATTATTACTATTATTAAACCATCATCTTCACCATCTGTACTGCATATCTAACCACGCACCTGCACTGTATAGCCAACCACACACCTACACTGTATACCCACTCACGCACCTACACTGTATACCCAACCACGCACCTACACTGTATAGCCAACCACACACCTACACTGTATACCCACTCACGCACCTACACTGTATACCCAACCACGCACCTACACTGTATACCCAACCACGCGCCTGTACTGTATACTGTACTGTATACCCACTCACGCACCTACACTGTATACCCAACCACGCACCACACTGTATACCCAACCACGCACCTGCACCAACCACGCACCCACACTGTATACCCAACCACGCCTGTACTGTATACCCACCACGCACCTACACCGTATACACCCACACTGCATACCCAACCACGCACCTGTACTGTATAAATCACCATGCACCCACACTGTATACCCAACCACGCACCTACACTGTACCCAACCACGCACCGTACCGGCGACCAACCACGCGCGCCTGTACTGTATACCCAACCACGCGCCTGTACTTCAGTACACCCAACCACGCGCCTGTACTGCACATACCCAAACAACGCACCTACTCGTATACCCAACAACGCACCGTACTGCATACTCCAACAACGCGCCTGTACTGTGGCACCCAACCACGCGCCTGTACTGATACCCAACCACGCGCTCACTGTATACCCAACCACGCCTGTACTCGTATACCCACCACGCACCTGTACTGTATACCCAACCACGCGCCTGTACTGTATACCCACTCACGCACCTACACCGTATACCCAACCACGCACCTACACTGTATACCCAACCACGCGCCTGTACTGTATACTCAACCACGCGCCTGTACTGTGGTATACCCACCACGCACCTACACTGTATACCCACTCACGCACTCCCACACTGTATACCCAACCACGCGCCTGTACTGTATACCCAACAACGCACCTGTACCTAACCACGAACCTGTACTGCATACCCAACCACGCACCTACACACCGTATACCCACCACGCACCTACACCGTATACCCACTCACGCACCTACACTGTATACCCAACCACGCGCCTGTACTGTATACCCACTCACGCACCTACACTGCAGTACTCCACTCACGCACCCACACTGTATACCCAACCACGCGCCTGTACTGTATACCAACCACGCGCCTGGTACCGTATACTCCACTCACGCACCTACACCGTATACCCACTCACGCACCCTACACCGTATACCAACCACGCACCTGTACTGTATACCCAACCACGCGCCTGTACTGTATACCCACTCACGCACCTACACCGTATACCCACTCACGCACCTACACCGTATACCCACTCACGCACCTACACCGTATACCCAACCACGCGCCTGTACTGTATACCCAACAACGCACCTGTACTATATACCATCCACGAACCTGTACTGCATACTCAACCACGCACCTGGTATTGTATACCTTAACCACGCGCCTGTACTCGTATACCCAACCACGCACCTGTACCAGCACTCCAACCACGCGCCTGTACTGTATAAGCACCAACAACGCACCTGTACTGTATACCTAACCACGAACCTGTACTGCATAAATTCAAACAACGCACCTGTACTGTATACCTAACCACACGAACCTATACTGCATACCCAACAACGCACCTGTACCGTATACCCAACCACGAACCCATACTGCATACCCAACAACGCACCTGTACTGTATACCCAATCAATGAACCTGTATACCGCATACCCAACAACGCACCTGTACTCGTATACTCAACTACGAACCTATACGCATACCCAACAACGCAATCTGTACTGTAGCCTAACCACGAACCTATACTTCGCATACCCAATAACGCACCCATACTGTATACCTAACCACGCACCTGTATCGGTATACCTAAATAACGCACCTGTACTGTACACCAACCACGAACCTGTACTGCATACCCAACAACGCACCTGTACTGTATACCAACCACGAACCCATACTGCATGCCCAACAACGCACCTGTACTGTATACCTAACCACGCACCTGTACTGTATACCCAACAACGCACCTGTACTGTATA